TGATATAGCTGAATTAGAAGTAAAAGAACATCATTCAGATGCATTAGGAATCCAACCATAATTCTAAGACATGTTCATCGATCAAAACTTTTATTTCGTGCAATCAAGTCACGCTGTTGTTACGAAGCACTCTCAACACGGCCCGTGATCGACATTTTGGAATGCCTTTATCGGCACGAGAAAGCTATAAAAAATTCTTCATATTTAAAGAACATCATTTCGGTGCATTTGGAATTCTAGAACATCATTTCACAAAGAACGTTAAAATTTTTTGTAAGACTTGTTTTTGAGACTCGCACCTTTGTGTTTGTCTATTTCAATAGCTTTTTCAAGTGATTTCAGCAATCGCCGGTAAAGACATTTATCGGTYTTACCAAATTTTGTCGTCAACTCTTTTCTTTTTCGTTATTTTTTGTCGTTCTTGGATTTATACTATGAAATATTGTTAAACTTCTTATTAAATAAGAGTTAATAGAGACTAGGGGCGTCATGGTTTATGCTGGGGGCGTCATGGTAGTACAGACTGGGGGCGTCATGGTATACGTGGGGGCGTTATGGCTGGGGGCGTCATGACAAGGGGGCGTCATGACCGCTTACCCTTAAGATAACAGCTGGAAAGTGGACAATGTCTGGCCAGAACTAGGACTTGTCTGGTCAAGTCTTTGCCTTGTCAGTCATTTTGACCAGTATCATTTATGAGAAATGAGGTGTGACTAAGCTAAAACTAATTAGGCCTGTGATTATGACCGGCGAATGATCGGCTGTCATTTTAAGCCCTGCCTTTCGCTATCTAGCGAAAGGTTCAATTATTCATGCTGCCTTTATTGGCCTATAATGCTTTTATCACTGAAGGTGATAACAGTTATATAACATAACAGTTTTCATTGAAAAAATCTGTGGCCCTCAAATCTCATATCAAATTCTGAAACTTGAAAACAATGTAAAAGAATACACTAGTAATACTTCATTTTCACATCTCTTTATTTATTTAGTGGTAAGGATGATAGTAGTTTACTTACAACATTAGAAGAGTAATAATGCACAGAATAACTCCAAAAACGGCTCTCTTACAACCACTTCTTGGGTCATCTTTCTGAGTCATCTCACCGCCACAGTTGCCACAGCAGCGACAACAACAAAAGCAACATCCAACAATTGGCATGAAGATGCAAAACAATATTCCAATGCAAACAGTTATGGCCATGCCCATGGCAAAATCCACAATAACCTATGATTAGATAAAGGCATAATGATAACTATAATAGGCCTTATCCACTGGTCCCCCATTTTAGACCAAAATGTCATTCCTTAGAGTATTATTTCTTTGTTTAATTGTTGCTTATCAGAAGATAAATGAATATAGATATAGTGTAAGTAATTCTTATTCTCGGGTGAGTTATAAACTGAAATGGAAAAATATTATGCTCCAGTCAAAGGATTGCATAAAGTAGGTGGATGATTCTTAGGCTATTTTCATTTTCATTTCATAAAGAAAAGAATAAACTTGCATTCTCATTGCATGCCCAATAACAAAGGAAATAGGTGATAACTTATGATTGGCAGATTAAGATTTTGACCATTTGTCATGTTTCTAGAACTCTTAACATATATTCAGCGCTTGACAGACGGTCATTGAACAATACTCAGTTAGAATTTGAACTTGTCGGGTCAAATCTTTGTCTTCATGGTCTTTTTGACCAATGGATAGTACTGGGACAGAAACAAGGTATGAACAAGCATACAAAATTTTAATAAATACTATGTACTTATTGACTGAGTGGGAGGGCCGTACAAGAAAATATTTCCCAAAGGTTTTTTTAAGAGCGCACGCCCAGCAGATACGGGTCATTAGATAATATTTCTTACATCATCATTTGGTTTCTCTATTTGTCCTTTTTTGAACTTCGTAACAAGTTCTAAAATAAGAAAAGAATTACAAGTTAGATTAAAATGCCTACTCATTGCCATGTAATGAAAGGCAATGAGTGGAGGCAAGAGAGCATAAATAAGAGAGGGAAACTTCTTAATAACGTGCGTGTCACATAAATTCCTGGTTGGGCTATCTTTAGTAACCGGATGTAATTTAAATATCACCTTACCCTACTCCCGTGCGTCATCAACTTGCGCACCTGCACTCTTTCCATTTATCGTTTTGATCACTAAAGATGATGGCATGCTCATTATTAAGAAGTTTTCCTCTCTTATTTATGCTCTCTTGGTGTCCCTAGGGTATACCTAGAAGAAAGCCCCTCAATCACAGGTGAGACCCAACTCTCTATGATGATGAGTCAGAGGATGAAACTCATGTCTACAACAGAGAGCGTTAAGTATAAACAGCACACACAACCTACAATTCTGGCTGTATCTTTTTAAATTGTACTTGTCATTTAAGGGTAGCATATAAATTTCAGCACTACCTAGAATCAGATCCTTCCCAGTCCCCCTCCCCCTTCTTAAATACGAATTAAAATACCAACAAAGGAAACAATAAATGAATCTGTTATGAGTATAGGAGTGAGGTTAGAGTGTGTGATGTAGAGAAGGAATATYGTATTTTATTTAACTAAAGATTTTTAACACAGCTTTTTATTATTATTTTCAAGTGTGACTTAAAGAAAATAAAGACAATGAAATTAATGCAAAAGTACTTTGAATTCAAACGTTTCTCATGGGGGAAATGTGTGAAAAAAAGTGGCTAATTGTGTAGTTTAGTCCTCCAGCTGTCACAATTAGTCAATGCCCCAAAACATGTAAATTTCATTAATTGTAATCAGAGGCATTATTATTAAAGAATCTTGAATCTTGAAAACCTTATCAAATTTGAACTAAATTAGTTAAATACCTTGAACGTCGGCTTTAAGCCCTACGGCCCTTGGGATGTATAGGGCTTAAAGCCTCCATTCTCGGTATTTAACTCTTATACTTAAAGTCATTTCCAATTTTCATCCATTTTCATCCAAGTGCCCCTTCAACATGTGATTATTATTGATTATTATTGTTTATTATTGTTTATTATACGTTTAGGGTCGAATTTGATTGGTCAAAACTAAAATATGCCACAAGATCTTATTGGAAAGTTTTACCATGAAGGGATATGGTATCACTTCACTGATATGGTTTTTATTTGCGGCTTATTATTTTACGGATATCAACCCTAAATGTGTAATAAACAGTTAATATCAAATGGATACATGAATATATATATATGCAAAAATAATATATAATACACATGAATATATACACCTATTTAGAAAAATGTTGTCGGGTCAAAAAAAGGTTACATCATCAAAGTTAAGACCGAAGGGCAGCATCGGAAGACAAACAATTATTCTAATTTCATGCGTATTGCAGTTTTCCCTTCCTGTGCACATTTTATGCATCATGGCTTTGGCATGTTGTTAATCTAGGCCGACCGACTTTGCTCTACTGTGCACTTTTACATGTCTATATGCAAATATAATACACATTTCGGAGTACCCAAAATCCTTTTTGGTCTTAGCTTCAATGATATGACCTTGAACCCGACTGCATTTTTTCAATTAGGTGTATATGCAAAAAAAAAACATATCAAGCATTCCATATAAAAGAGGAAAAATAACATTTGAACATGTTTCCCAACATTTTACGGAAGTTTCTTTTTCCAAGTAATCTATTTGTATTCGTAATATATGCATTTAAGTGTATTTTTCATGAATCCAAAAAACTTCTTAAGTGTTGAATGATAATTTAAATTATTATACATTTTACTAAGTATCYCAATTCTGATTGGTCGAGAGCCCTCAGCCAATCCCCGATATTGTGTGAACTCGACATGATAAATGTATTATCTGTAGGTTTTCCTACAGATAATACATTTATCATGTCAAGTTCATTCAAGCTCACGCTGTGGTAGCTTTGTTTTTATTCATTATGTGTATTTATTTCCAGAATTATGTACAAAACAATTATTTAAGGAATCCTTAACTTATTTTCATATATTTTATGAAGAATTCCAAAAATATTTTTGAATTAAAATTTTTGCGTTTTTCACGCTACATCATGGCGTTCATAATTCTTGTCTCTACAATTTAATGTTCATGTTAATGTTATACAAAATGTATAATAAAGCAATTATTGAATTCGGTATCGCATAATATCGTAAATATCAAGACCGAGGCTGTGTTATCTGCCTCAGCCTTCGGCTTCGGCAGATAACACTGCCTCGGTCTTGATAATTTACGATATCATGCTCAACCTCACCCAATAATTGCTTATTAGTGTATTGGAATAAGCATCTTGGAAATAGTGTGTTTGTATAATCAAACAGAGTTTTTAAATGTTGAATGTTAATTTATGTTATTGTAAGTACGCTAGAATAAACATCTAAGAAATAATATGTAAAATTTTAATAATTTTTTTCTTTATAAAAAAATATATTCTCGAGGACTGTTCAAGATTTTTCATAGCATTTTAAGTGCATCGTAATATCTTAATAGTTTATAAATTAATAGATTTGACATAAAGAAAACTGCCTAATGTTTACTGTTATTTCGTGTAATAAAACAATTAAAACAACATTTTTTCGGAAAGCTATCGTACAAACAAAGGAAACACATTTTTTTAGGCAACACAGAAGTTAAGTATCATGCTGAAGCTAAAGCTTAAGTTAGAGACAAACAAACAAAATTATTATTTTGCTTGTATTTTTAAAGCTCAAACGGATGAAACTTTAGTAGCTCACAATCTGAATGGCGTCCACTGTAGCAAAAAATAACAAAACATCGAAGGACGGAGGAAGTCATTAGCTTACAGGGTAACACAAGCATTTAAAGTATTTAAAAAATCAAGAATTTGTCTTACCATAAGGTTCTTTGCTAAGGACTGTGCTAATGAAGGAGTTACCCAAGTCATACCACGGTCCCAAACCTTCAGCGTCAAATTTCGTCTTCAAGTTTTTTGAATCTCCATTGTTATTCGTACTTTTTGGATCCCATGTTATCGTACCATTCTCACTCGCAGATATTCCTTCGGAAATTCTTAAATTGACAATAATAAAAAGCAGCAATACGCAAAGTTTGAAGCGAAGATCCATGTTTGTCCAGAGAACGTCGACGTGCGATTGTCTTCCTTCTTCCGTTTACGCGTTGAATCCAAGAATAAAGTATACGTGTTCTATGAATGAATAAAAAAACAAAGAAATACAGAAGAGCGTTAAGGAAATAGTTTTAAGTGTCCTTCGTATGATTTCTTTCTTACGAAATATTATTTGAAGAAGTTTGAGCGGCTTGGTCGACCAAGCATGCATGGCTACGACGTACAAAGACGACATATTGAGCATCTCGTTCTTCAAATACTCCAAATATAACGCTCGAAACAAGAAACCAGAAAGATTAGATACCTTTAAAAAATACTCCTGAAAGTAGGAGAGTAACTCCTTTTGATGAGGGAAGAAATATTAAAGGAGCAAAAATGCTTTCGTTAAACGCGCTAGTTCCGTGTCATGAACAATACTCCTGACCAAAACTCAATTCTCCTAACAAGATGACGTCATTAGTTTGTCAACAGAGAACTATGGAGACAAACGACGTCATGTTTATTGATAGCAGTCGTTGCTAGGCAAAAATATCAACACGTAAATCCTTTTCTGCTTATGAACATTACGCGAAACTTATAACTTTTAGACTTCGTGCAAACACGAAGCCATCTTATCCGATAAAGGATTGAAAAGCTATCTATTTCAGTTACTGTAATGATGAAAAGGTAAATTATACACCGTGAAAAGATGAAAAAACTTACTGACGTTTCGGACGCTAGTCCTTCGTCGGAGTAAAAGAGAAAGAAGTGGTAGAAAGGAGTGTATATATGATAGAATAAGACAAAAGAAACCAATGAGAGCAAGGTAGGCATAGAAACAAAAACAAACAATCAAAAGACAAAAGAAAAGGTTAGTTGAAAATAAAGCGTTCATTAATCCCGTTGGGACTAAGAGTGCCCAATAGGTGAATAAGCCGGCGTCTTGGTGATCGCATTTGCAATCATCTTTATGATATTCGCAATAACGATCCCACCAAACCAGTTTCCCGCCATTTTAATCTAGCTAACCATTCTCTTTCTGACTTCATTGTTTTCGGTCTTTCTTTGCTTAACGGCAACAATGATTGTCGCAAGACCAAAGAAATGCGGCTTATTCACCTTATTCACACAATCGTTGCCAAAAGTAGAAATGAACTCTACTTTTCGCAAAGACTGCTACAACTTACTTGTCTCGCGACATTTAATTTTTCAAATTGCGCTGTAGCTTATACGCTGAAATGCTCCATTGACTTACATCGCAACGTTAAATTGAGCATTTAAACCAAGCGAATTACGTTGATTGCGTTTAAATTACGAAGGTATTTAAAATTTAAAAAATGCACAGAAAGGGCACAGGGCCGTGTCCACGAGTTCGCCAAAGCAGGGAGGTGGCCAAGGGCAATAGCGTAGCGCAGCCGTGACGTCATAAAAACGAAGACAAAGGCGAAATTCGGACAAACAAACTTACTAGTTTACTTTCAACAGATAATTTTCACAACCGATCGCAGTTGATCTTAGTTTACATGGGTTATTATTATAACTTTAAGTAAAAATAATAAAATCGGTTCGTATATCCTCGTAGCGGTTAAACAGAATGCAATGTTTGTCCGAAACTTTAAGCTATTTTTAGAATCAGCGCGCTGCGCTATTATTTGATTCGATTTGTGCAACAACATTTCTTGGAAAATAACACTGTTTGTTTGCCACCATGAATACCAATGGAAACATTTGACCGCACCAAATCACGCAAAACTGGCGCTCGCATAATGTCGGTAAATGCTATATTGACATTTTTGACATGCTTTAAGGCCAAAGGCTCTCAAGCTTGTAATAATATTTTTAGCGGTTTCCTCAGTTGTAAGTATAGGACGTCTTTGTTTTTGGCAATGTACTTTTTTCAAAATATCTCTGTGATATGTAGAGGGATTTCATTCTCTATATTCCATATAGTAAATTTTTTTCATTTAAGAAAAAAACTGATAAAAAATAAATAACAAAAGATCGCCGAGGGGGGCAATCGAATCATTAAAAAAATATTCTACAAATGCCGTTTGAATCAATAAAATAAATACATGATAAAATGTAGATATTTTTTTAATATGTAAGATTTACTTTAAAGGCACTAATATCATCCACGGGGCTTCGAATGGAACCTGACTGTCGAAGGTCGATGATGAACGCTGTGAGCTGGATTGCCCTACGCTTGCCCTATTTCTTTGTTATAAAATTTGCATGGATGCGAGTTCAGTGAAGTGAGTAATATAGTGACGGATTGAATCTATAAGTTATACTAAGCTTCTTTCGTGCCATCGTAGCTAGCTCTATAGCGTGAATGACTAGAGATCTAGACTAGTACTCTCTTGCTACACCCCAGATGGAACAACTTAGCGGTCCGCGTATACAAATTCATCACCATCCTCGTTTAAGAAGTAGGCAAACGTGGTCTATGTGACATACAAGATCTACCTAGTTGTAGTTTGACATGACTGCGGATCAGAAGCATATGAGAAGTAACCTACTAAAAATATATCGCGTAAGGCTCTCGATCCTTTCCGAGAAGAAATATCGAGCAAACACACCAAAAATTGCATGCTGGGGTTGTTACAAAAAATACATATCGTGCAATATAAATTCCTGAAACCTCTCACCTCAATTATCTAGTGTTCAATCTCTCTCTCTCTCTCTCTCTCTCTCTCTCTCT